TTTTCCTCTGTTTCCTATTATACTCAGATAGTGCTTTTCTTTTAGCTTTTTTATATACTCGTCGTTTAGTTTTTTAACAATTTCAAAATTTACTACAGATTTATTCTTATTAAGAGATTTATTAACAGTCCTAAATTCTCGCCTAGCGGTCTCACATTCTTTATTAAACCATGGGCTCTTATACGTTCTAACACATGTATTATTTTTATTACACGTAGTTTTACCAAAACACTTTTAGTTTTATCATACAAAATATTAGATATTTCATTTATTCCAGCGCTAACATTAGTTTTCTTTTGAAAACAATACAACTAACAATGTCATTTATATTAGACAGTTCAGCAGAAATAACGTCTCGGTAATAATCAACTTTTTCATTATCCCATACAATTTTTTCACATAATGTAGAATTATTTGTAACATTACATTGTTCATAACTATTTACATTTAAATCAACTTGGATAGGACAATGTGGTGAATGAATTTGTGACAATTGTGAATGGTACAAAGAACGTTTAATTAACATCACAACTGTGTTTCTTTATGACTGTAAAATCGTGTGACACATACACATTAAAGTGTGTGCATTTACGAGTTCATACTTAATCACATTTATCTTGTGTTTTTCTTGTGCCAGTAAATTTGGTTGAAAAAAAAACATATGCAGCGTCGTGCCAACAACAAAATTTATTAGTTTTTGTTCTGCATAGTAGATGCGATAGTAATTATTTTGTAATCATATTCGTTCTGACAGATATTCATCACAATACATCATAAAAACAAGCAGAAAGTTGAACAGTAAAAATATAGTAAACTTAGAACAGCAATTGTTTACATTATATTTTAAATAATTGTTATAAAAGCAGATTGATATTTGAATATTTGAAAAACTATAATTGTTCGATTTTTAAATAATAAAAAGAAAAGAAACACAATTCACTGCTAGTAAATTTTGAAGTAAATTTTATTTGTTTCTGGGGCATTATGTACCTTTCAGTATTCTAAAATACAACTTTAACCGAGAAATAAGATGTGCTGTTCAGTATTTAGTAAAACAAATAGAAAACGATCGATTCTCATAACGCTTAAGAATGCTTCATATAATTTTGTTTAATATCTGTTTACAATATACTTATTTTCTAATGACATTTTCTAATAATGCCAATAATGATTGGTAAGATAGCAATTGAAAAGCTTAGTGTTGAATGATTAAATTTCATGAATTTATTGTACCATATTTTTTATGACCGAGCTAAAAATGATAACGTTCTGATAAAGCCTGCTTTTAAAAATCTGTTTCTTGATAGTTTTTGTCTATTATTATGTTGCACAATCTATCTCTCTTAGAACAAGTGTAATTGCCAAATAATTATCTTCATATCTATGACGAAGACTCGCAAATTTGACTAATTGCGTTGTTGGCCTTTTGATCACTTCACTGCATTGACTTATATTCTTAAGTTCTTAATTTATGCTTACATGTGCAATTATATAGTTACTACTAAGTCTTTGTGGTTTGTACTTTACTTTGTTTACGTCATAATATTTAACTGATATCTGTCAAAATGAATCCAAAGAAATGTGGCAATAAACATGATATATTCATTAGAAAAATGGATGTAAAGTAGAAACAAAAAGAAAAGAAAATATTTTATTAATATTATTGATTTATACTTATTTTATTACAGTAATTCAAGCCTTTGTCATGCAAAATAAGATTCTTATCGTGTCCCTAACAGAACAACTGTTAACAAAGCAAAGATTGTGTTTTAATGAGAAAAAAAACTGTTAGATGGAGACATAGACATATGCATTTGAAATTAGTGACTTGGGAATAAGAAATAGAAATATAGTATATAGATTTTGATAAATGAATTTCTAAAGCAAAATCAATAAGACAAGTACTTGTTTTGATTGCTATTTGGCATTACTTATAAAAACATTTTTTGCGGACAATTTAAGCATTACAAATCAAGGTAAACTAATCGTAAAATTTAACATCAAAGGTTGCAATATTTATTTATATATCTGATTAATAATTTGATAACGTACAATATTACATTTGAGTTTGTCAAACAATATTTCTCACCAGCATATAATTCGGACGACTATGAAAAATGGCTTTCCAATGTTGATGATATGACACAAATTCTAATCTCGAATTTTGTTTATTCTAGATTGTGATTTTTTGCTATATTCTTTTTCAAATTTCGTTTGATTATAAAGACACAGAAACTATTCTACTGGAATTACATTATTGTTTTATATCCATGTTGATAGGAATATGTATTCTTGTGTTCTATACATACATCACACCATTAGTACAGTTTTGGTGAAATCACACAAAAATGCAGTATATCTTTCAAAGATATTTTCAGCGTTTCAGTAATACACGTTTTTACATACATGTATATGTAAGTGAAAGATGGAAAATTGTATTTAGGTAAATCATATGTTATTTAAATCAGTTTCTCAGCGAAAGTGTCTGTCTACCTCAATTTAAAATATTATTCAACGTTATCTAAATTGACTAACCAGGATGTTTGTGAAACTTTTTTCAAAAGACAATAGAACCTTTATGTTATTGTTGTTGATTTAATGAAACATTTCACATTAAAGACATTAAGGACTTTTATCTTTAAGTTTCAGCGGTAGTGTTACAATTTATCATCGGAAAGAAATGATATTTTCGTGGGAGAGAAACATTGAGGAAATGCAATTAAAATATATATCAATTAAAAACCATAGAGTAAAAACCATGGAAGTTGAATTCTTACACGCGTTTTGAAACGCGCATCAATTTAATTGTAAAATGTCTTTATATCACAGAATCATGTTTTTTTTTTGTAAATAGATAAATAAATGAATAAATAAACACATAGCACAATTGCAATTGTCGTTCTTTGACTTGCGCAACATCAAAAGTGAACGACATATCAGTTATTAAAATGCTCATTGGATCAAAAAATATTCTGATAACATCTTGATATGTAAAAGTATGTTTCTATCTGTCATACAAGATAGTTCTGCTTTACAGTCAATGACCCGTATGTGTATATCACTTGGAAACTAACCAAAATATCAAAAGTATGTCTGATATTGCACTATTTCTTATACCGTATGGCATAGTCATGATTAATTAAGTGTTTTAAGTAATCTCAAAGCATTCATCACATACAAACTTAAGCAAAAAAGTTTAAGCTAATGACTGGCCCGTTTATTTTCAATTTTTACTATTACACATAGACAAACTAAGGCTAACTTGACTGTTAATGCATATTGAAACAACCTTATCTCTTAAAAGAATGTTCTATCTTAAAGACATGTAAAAAAGAGATACAATTCACAATATTATTTGCAGGTAATTAAATAGGCTATATTACGATTTGGTTTCTAATTCTGCAAATTTTTCTTTTTCGGGTAGATTTTTTTTAAAATCACATTTGTAAATAATGTTACAGACTATATTATATAACAGTTGGTTTCTAATTTTGAAAGTAAAGTTTTCAAAATTATAAGATGATTTGCAGTTAATGTTAAAGACTTTATTACAGTTGGTACCTAATTTTCCAGACTCTTTGTATCTTGATTCAAGTAGGATTTTCAGTGTTTGCAATTGAATTTAACTGCGGAGAATTTCTCTCCAAGGTGAAAGCAATTCTTATGGTACAATATTCAAGAAACACACACAATTAAGCTTAACAAAACCTTTAAATAAATGAACTTTAAAAAGAAAACTCAATGTTATTATATCTTATATTAATTGAATATATTTATTTTTTGTTCCTTCTATATTCAGCCTTTGTTTCTACTCTTGAATTACATTACTTTCATCAGTATACCAGGTGCGTAGTTTAGTTCGTTTACTTACTTGATTTGAATTGGTAATACTTACGATTCCGTTCATTTTGCAAATGTAAAAATTAATGACAAACATTTGTTTTCATTTGGTTTTAACTTCTATAATTACACATGGACTTTAAAACATGAATATACATACAAGATTCTTGATTCCTGCCCGTTATGTTTTCTTGTTTTACCAGACAATTACAAACATGTTCATGATAAATTAAACATTCTATTTGACAACGCTCGTGGTCTTGTTAATAACATTAGTCTCATTAAATATCATTAGGCAAAAGAACATTCTAGAACTGTTTCTTTGATGTAGATGACATTAATGGCTCAGTTGTTGGACCATTGTCCGTCAGAATAAGTATCAAAAACGTTTTATCTGAAGAGATGGAATAAGGCACCCGTCAAATATAACACATATCATTGAGGATTAACAAGATGTATAACTAGCACAAAAGATGTTGGATTCTTTTACCTGATGACCCAGTTGTCGTTTTCGTTGAGTAGATTATTTTACCCCATAACCCCAATTTAACATGATAATATGATCATATGTTTGAAGTGGCATGATTTTAAAATCGCTTCACATAAAAGATCATGTCTGTTGTAATTAAGGATGTAACAACACGTAAGTGAAAGTTTATATATTTATATGTAATCAATGAAATATATGCATTCATTTCTTATTGAAACATTTGGCTTAGTCTTTATCGAAAATAAATTGCTTGTTATCTCCCTTTATTTACATGAAAGTTAAATTCAGTAACATCTGTACAAATAATACTTTTTGGAACTTACAATATTGATAAATCTTCATTTGAGCATCATTTTTATGATATGATACCATAAAAAAATTGAGTCACATGATCTTTAATATAATGTTACTCTACTTAATATGAATGATTGAAATCGATTAAAACAAACAACAGAAAAAAAAAACATTAACGTGATTGTCTTATGTGTTCTTTTTTCACGTCTGCTTATATTGGAATTATAAATTTATTTTTACCTGAAGGTTACATTATGATGCAGGAACACATCTTTTAATCTTACGATAAATGATACAGAGTATGTTGACTATTGCCTAAAAAGAAGCTTATTATCTGGGGGTAAATGGTCACAAAAGTATAACAAAGATTGTCAGATACCAAAATGTATGCTTGTTAATAGATTGACCAATATGATAATATCAAATGTTTTCTTAAATATGTTACATAACTGTAAATACCACATACATTTACAGTATAATCCGAGCATGATAAACAGAAGTTTCTTCATATTTATTAATAGTACGGAAAAGTCCATCTTAATACTATATACATTGTAGGCAAATGAGATGTTGCCCATCTTTATGATTGTACGTTTGACTGATAATTGTAAAAGTAATAAATACAAGTCGCAATAGCTTAATCATGTACGAAACTACATAATAATATGGGTTTTTTTTTTTTTTATTGATTTATTTATCTTACTTTTTCATCGAAATAACTTCATCTATCTCATTTTTTTTCGTTTCTTATTATAAAAAAGGTATGAAAATTTTAACAAATTTTAAGAGATTCAAAAAAACAATATCTATAAGTTCATATGCGTAATCATATATTTATTTTATCAGACACAAAGCAATTTAAAGATATACTATGCTCATCTTTTGGTAAAATATTTTTATCTTAGAAATGAATTGAAATCCATGAAATTCTTACTGAATATGTTTCATTTGAATAAAATAATGAATAAACTTTGTATGGGAAGCTGCATTCCCTATTACGGTTCCAGTAAAGTTGGTCTTTTCTTAAAAAAAAACTGCCATTTTTTTAATAACACTGAATTTTCATATGGTGACCTTATATAGTGTGTAGAGTTCAAAACATAACATATCTACTTTAAATGAAGTCGAAACATGTTTTTTATACATACAAAGAGACTGTGTAGCAATTATTGATAGTTTTAAAAATCAAATAGGAGCATAGTATATATAAAAAAAAAGAAGAAAAAAGAAAACTTTGATAAGAAATAAAACAGTTTCCACCAGGTTTCGAACCCATTTAGTTTCGTCTGTCTTACATTCGTGTGTCTACTCTATTTGACATTTAACTTATAAATAGAAGTGTTTTTGCAATAAATGTTTCAATCATTCTTCTGTAACAGTAGAGTTTGGTGAAATGTGTCGTTCGTTTATATCAGATGGTTCAAAATCTCCCTCGGTGTTGGCATCCTCATATAAATGATCACTATCTTCAATGACTGCGTCACTAAAGTCGTCCTCACTCGATCCTGTATCACTGTCCTCATGAAAGCTGTTACAGTTATAAAGTCTGCGTAAAAACTCAAGCCTTTTTGGTTCTAAGATATTTTCCCGGATAAACCGTTCTGTAATATGCATGTATAATAAACAATGAGTTTAAAGGCACATTATGTCTCGGAAACAAATAAATTTTCATTTCTTTAGAAAGAGCAAATATGAATTTTATAATGTTTAAACAATGATTTTCGAGAATGTTATATGCTTGTTACCTAAAGAAAGTAGCGATAAATGCGAAATAATTTGTCATGAAAGTAGCAAAATTGTAAACAAAGTTGTATTGTGACCTCCATACAAAATACTTATTCAATATAACTGTACTTATTGCCAAAAAGCAACAGATCAAATAGATAGTTCTGGTAATTACAAATGTTTTTGTTTGTTTGTTTTTGTTTGATTGGGTTTTACGTCACACCGACACAGTATAAGACATATGGCGACGTTCCAGCTTTACTGGTGGAGGAAGACCTAGATAGCTTCCTCACATAAAAGAATCCAAAGTCCGTGTAAAGTAATTGAAAAATGAGTAAATGTTTGAATGCTATAAAAGTACGCCAAAATTAAACATCTTTTGAGAAATAAAAATAAAAGCAAGTCTGAAGCATAACGGACCTTAAAAGGTTGTGTAAAAGATTGTTACATTATCGGTTTTACAGACTCAATCAAACCGTGTCTGCAATTTTCATGTAATTTTGTTGTTTTTTATGCTTCTGAGGGATCACTTTTCTCCAGCTATTTATTATTTATTATTTCACTAAAATATCTCTCAAAAATGTATGAGTTTACCCATTATTTCTTGTGAAGTGCCCGCTCTTTCTCCGGAATAACTGTCTGCAATGTATTCATTAGGAAGACTGGACTTGTCAATGTAATCAAAAACACTGTCGTACTGGTACCCATGTAACTGTATCTGTAAATATTGTGATGATGCGCATATTATCAAAGATGACGTCATAGCACGTAAAATGCCTAATTACTTATTTCATTACCATGTGCATATCGTGTACATTAGATATTTGTTATTGTTTTGATTTAATTCAACGGATTCTATTCCAAATATGAAGATGGTAAACCTGAACTGAATAATGTAGGTCGTTACTCATCAAATAGAAGATAATCAGCCTTGTACCTTCGACAGAACGATTTATATAATTATCTGCAATGTGGTCATAAATTAGGAGCATTTCATATAGTATTATATTACAGTGCCAACTTCACATAAAACAAAATTGAATAACTGCCAAAGCCTAGTGGCGACCACGCTCGACTTGTTTCTCAAGTCAAACACATCAGAAGTATAGAGAACTTCTAGCAATCACTCTTGTATAAAATAAAATTCAAATTTCATATCTGACCTTGACCTTTAAAATCACTTAAAGGTCAAAGTCATAATGTGCCAGCTTAGTCATAAGTGTTTTGTTCAAAAATGAATCAAAGCCTTGAATTACTAAAGTTATGACAATTTAAGCGAAACATGAGCCATCGCCCTGAGGGGACAAAGTTTTTTAAATGTCTTTCTATTATTCCTTTCGGTTGAACGGAATAAAAGAAAGAAATTTAAAAAAACTTTATTCTCTAGAACCAAAAGGTATTGTACATAGCAACTAGATTTCTACACAAAATCAAAATTCTTTGAACTAATTTGAAAGCTCTTTACCCAAGGAACAATCCTGGCAAGTCTGGTTAAAATCAGGATTGCAGTTTATATATAATCTATGTAACACGCACAAACACACACATGCACGCACGTACGCACGCACGCCGAGGTGAATCGCTATATGCGCTGCGGTGGCATAAAATGATACATTTTGGATATAGATTTTATTAAACATCAATTAAAAGAAGACTCTTCAGAAGTTGGAATTGGTTATACAAGTAGTTAAAATATATCGATCTCATCGCTCTAGCTTTTTGTATACGCAGAGTGCATGCCAGTTGCTATGAGAATACCATAATGATTATATTGTGAATCTTACCCTGCTAGCAAGTTTAGTTGATACAACAGATTTCACAATTCCCAGGAAGAACGCTATTATACGATTGTTGTTGATATAATGTACTTGTTTGATTCGTATTGGGTATCCATTCTGAAAACATAGTTTTTTATCAATACCATCTTTTGTTCGAAAAACCTGTCAATAAATTCATGAGCAAAATATAATTTCAAAATATAAAGTTTCCAACTTGAAATTGCTGTGAAAACTATTAGATTTTTGATATCCTTAACATATATTATTATTAAATTGTTCGCTTTTTGTATGTACACGAAATATAATATGATTAAATAGTACCATTTTGATTCATAAGTAACATTCAAATATTTACTTAGACAAATGAAGTATTTCAATATATTGTGTTAAACTAATGAATGTTTACCCTGTTGTAACCAATATTAATTAGTCTTACCAACAAGCAAGTGTAAAACAAGACATGTCCGCGAACTGTGACAAGGCTCTTTTAATTGTATTTTTTATTTTGATATCTCCAAAGCTGATAATAGATATAAAGATGGACATATCCATTAAAGAAAATTGGCAGGTTAAGGAACTTGCATACCTGCATGACTTCAAACTGTTTCCGGCAATTGTTAAAGCCAAAGAACATGAGATGTTTCATTGCCACGCCTTTAGCGTCCATGAGGAATGTGATTCCGTTAACCATGACCCTTTCATCCAAAAAACACATTGCGTCAAAGACAAGAGTTATCGCCCGGAACCAGTCGGCAAAACTATAGGCGGCGCCACTGACATCTAACTGATCTGAAAGTGGAAATTGCGTGAATATAAATGAGTACATAAAAATTAGCTACGGAGATGATATAATGACAATTATCTTAAATGTTCTTCAAGTTTCCCAGAGATAAGAAACGAATATTTGTTGTTAAATCGTGTTACATAGGAAAGTCGTGTACCAAATACGTAAGTTTGGTCTATGTATCAACTGACTTAAGAATTGATACTCTGGTGCCATATCAGAAAAATCTGTACGGACATGACTTAAGTACCTTGTAATTTAATATTTAAGTAAAGTGGTCATTGAAACGTAAGGTGTTAACTTTTATGTATTTCTGACACTTAAGAATAAATAGTTCGGAAATTTGAACATACCCCAACGCGCTAGAATTACTTTGCGACCATCCTTGTCATAGCCGGGTAATGGTACATATACAGCACTGAAAAAATACACGAGAGATTAAAAACATGACAATTCAGTACAGAAATATCAATGCAAAGAGGTTAAAAAAGTAAGTCCCTAGTGAACAATAGTGTTTAATACAAAAACAAAATATTGCACGTGATGCATACAAACTAATGCACATATACACTCATGGCAAAATAACTTTGCACATACAATTTTATGATTCAGGTCGTCCGTAGAAACAAAATAGTTTTAAACAACTGCTTGCCCCAGTTTCTGCGAAAGAACATAATCCACGGCGCAGGAGTGTAATTAACCCATTTATTATACATGTAAAACGATATCACACTAGTGTAATAACACCTTGACGTGTCGTCATTTACAGACATAGCGTTAAAACGCATTGATGACGTGACACAATATGTAACCGTTCTTATTTCAGATAGGTGATAAATAGAATATTATATTCGTGTAGATTTATTATAAAAGTATTAAACTCACTAGATAAAGAAATATTATGCTCGCATAATATGATTTTATTCAACTAGATCAATAGATTAAGTATTAAAGCAGCACGCCTCCAGATTAATGCTAATTTTCATGAAAATTTTGAAAATTTATTTGAATGTATAATATTGTGAAATAACCAAAAGGAAGCAATTAACACGTCATCATTAGTTTTTTCCCACCGCTAGAAATGGATTTTTTTCAACAATTTTAAAGAGCTATATGCCAGAAACATCCCTGCTGCTCAGTTTAACAATATTGGCTTATTTGTATAGAAGAAGATATTGTTAAAAGAAAAAAGTTTGACGCCATGGACGACGCACGACGGACGCAGAGTGATCCAAAAAGTTCACTCTTGACACTTTATACTCAGGTGAGCTAAAATACAAAAAACACACTTACTGTGGACCTCTAAGGATACTAAGTATGTTTGGTGATGCCGGGTCTATTCCATTCATGACCTGCATGATTGCCTTACGTCTTGAATACCAGTAATTTCGCAACCGCTGACGGGCTGCATCTTGGTTGAATTTGGAAGCTCGAAGAAATGACCAAATATAGCAAGAATCTGTCAGAAAAAAACCAGGAATAATTATATAATTAATTATTATCAATAACTGTGATAAGTCGTGGAATTTATATACAGTTTAATGTCTGGAGTTCGTTGTCATAGTAACCACACACGGTTTGATTTACATGACCTTATTAAACATACCTTCACATTTAACAGACCTTCAAAAATTATGGTGGCTGATTTGTGCCATTCGTGTTTTCACCCCGCGACCCCACCAAGCGAAAAGTCAATAATTAAAAAGTTAAAATGGCAGGGTCGCGGGACGAAAACACTCTAATTAGCGTGGCGCGGGGCGAAGTTTAATAAATAAAACTTTGCCCCGCAGACTCCTGTAATCGATGTTTCTGGCAAATATCCAGGATATTTAGGCTGAAAATATTCTAACAAGGTTTTTCCATATTTGGACTGTGTGATCTAGTTTTGGACCCCAGACGACCATTATTCTATAGTGAGCAAGGAATCGTCTAATCAACATTTCTGACCAATTTTCTAGATATTAAGACCAAAACAGTAGTCTCTAGAGTGTTAACAAGGTTATTCCATATTTTGGTTAGTATGACATTGTTTTTGACCCCAAATGACTTATCTAAACAACCTACCTGACCGATTTGCAGGATATTTGGAACTACATTAATTTTTTAGCAAGTTTATTTTTTTTTGGCTACTGTAACCTAGTTTTTCGTCCGCGATAACCCATGCTCGAACTCGTTCGAGCAATTACTTTTACAAACACCCTTAACAACTGAGGCAAAAATGTGATCACTAGAATGTAATAAGTCTTCTTTAAGAATATAAGTTTTCTATATATCATAATTTTATAACTTTAAATACATGACGTATAACGACTTTCATACTAAACCATAACCTATCCGGCTTTCATCGATTTTAATTAAGTAACTGTTTATTTATTCCTCGCTGTCTATTATGTTTCCAAAAAGACCAGCTTATTTTCAGTTATTAACTGTCATAAACAATATCACGACCGTTGTCATGGAAATAAACTTACTTTATAATGTTTAATGACCAAATGATATCTTGTATTTGTTGATATTTAAAATTCTTGACAACATTTATAAGATGGAAAATAAGTTTAAAGATATACAATGCTCAAATTTCATATTTGAAAATATTTATAATTGCTAGAAGGATCGGGCAATAACATGAAAATTCATCTGCCATTAGCTTTTAAATTGATGAATTTGTGTGCTTTGATTTTGGAACAGTCCATTCAATGTTTGTTTGTTTGTTTGTTTGATTGGGTTTTACGTCACACCGACACAGTATAGGCCATTTGGCGACGTTCCAGCTTTACTGGTAGAGGAAGACCTCAGGTGCCCTTCCTTGCATTATTTCAGGCACGAACGGGCACCTGAGTAGAACCACCGACGTTCCGTAAACTAGCTGGATAGCTTCCTTACATGAAAGAAGCGACTTCAACTTTTCTTAAGGTTGATTATGTTTATTTTTCGACAAATCGTTACATAGAATTGTCAAATCGAAAGAATTCAGGTGGAAAATAATCGATTTAAAATAGTTTTCAGAACACGACTGAAACAAATGAAATACAGGTCGAACTTTTGGATTCAGACCACTAAATATTTACATTACTATAATCTGTTAAATACCAAAGAGACGGTCGGTTTCCAAATGTCAACGTAAAGGAGTCAAAGGAGTGTACACTTATGTAACATCATTTAATACAAGTTGATTTGAAGTTTAGGAACAGACCACTAAATGTTTAGAAAGTTTGGGCCTATTTTCATTTACCAATATCAAACTTGATTTGATCATTTAAGATCTTTCTTGATAGAATTATCTTTACAATGTTGTTTTATTTTTCTTTAAACAACATCTCCTCTACCAAACTTTGCAGGAATGATTCTTCGGTGGTCCCCTTTCAAATGGTTCCGGTCTGTTGCTAATGTAGGTCAAGGGAAAGACTTATACATGTATAGGAAAGACACACACATTTAAGCCTTATTTTCTCAAACTTAAAAGCCTCAGGCTTCAATATTTGGCATGTGATATTGCCTTTTGGACCACTACAAAATGTACATGTATCAAAATCAATGTCCCTTGGTGTCAAAATCTTCCATATCCCAAAAAGGTTATGAATTATATTAACCTTCAAAAGAAAATATTAATAAGGTCTTATTGTATGAAACTTCAATGCATGGAGCTTAAAATATTGGATATGTAGCATTACCTTGTGAACTTATACAAAACAAATGTTAATCATGACCCATGAGTCAACCCAAAGGTGTACTTGATTTATATAGACTTGTATAGGACTTGTATTTATTGTCACGCATTCCAATACTTATTCATCTACAACAATGGAATTGCATATGTGGAAACACATTGATGAGTTCTACCTACAACACACATTTTCATGTCAGAAGGTCAAGGTCACTGGACCTGATATATCAAAAAAATTCAACGGGCCATGAAGTGAAAGTGCATAACGTGGGTTGACCGCAAAACTGTAGTATCTTATATAAAATAAAGAAGATCTTACAACAGTTTTGCGATCAACCCTCGATATATATAGGGATTTCATTCTTTTTAAGTGGATACATCTTGATATATATAGTCCTCAGGTGACCGCTTTGGGCAAATTGCCCCCTTTTTTAGGAATGGAAAATTCCGCTTTGTTACTTCCATCATTACTCAGGTTGTTGTTAAACTTAAAGAGCTGTCATTTTGACATTATTTACACACTGCATGAAATAGGAATGACAGAGAGTCGCTACTAGCACAGAATTGTTATTCGAACAAAACTTAAGGCTTAAGGCCGTTTTAAGGGATTTCAATATTCAAAAATATTTCAAAATAGAAAAATTGTGCTACCAACAATTTAATGCCCGACGGATATTTATATTAGTGACAAAGGCTATTCTCAGATAATATGTTGTACAACATTTACATATTTTCTATATAAGTACCACCGTAGGGTACGTGTTACAGTATCGCGTTTTTCGGTTACAGTATAGAATTTTCAAGATGGAGGATTATTTGTTGGGAGGACAGGTAGGTGATTTTTATTCCGGTCCATACTACAAGTAGTTTAGTTTCTAAAAGATGTTTTTTGTGCTTTTCTTGTAAGGAACAGAATCCGATATCTAGTCATATATTTCTTTAGACCCTGCACCGCAGATTTATCTCTATATTGTCTCATAAATATGCAGATTTGACGGTTTGAAAATTTGAATCGAGAGACCAACGCATTTTTCTGCAATTTCGACATTATTTATGCATGCCTAGAAAAAGTAAATCTACAAAACGTTAGTCCTTTATGTTAAAAAACGTTTATAAAAGTAAATGACCAGTTGAACCTATTTTCCTGTTCGTTAAATGCGTTTGAAAAAATAAACAATGTTACAGTATAGAGCGAGGTTAATTTGTTAAGGGTTACAGCATAGACATAGCGATTTGTATCCGATATTGTTACAGTTTATACCCAGATTTCGGTTACAGTTTAGACTTCGATATTTTTTATATATACTAGGTAAAATGTATGAATGTTACATAGACTTTTAAATCTCTGTGAGCTTATTGGCCCGATGGCTATTCGTCTGTCTGTCGTACATATGTGTGTGTAATCTCATCCGCTCAGTAGCTACTTGACTAAATGTGATGAAATTTACATGACTTTCTACCAATTAAGTTGTTCAAATGGTTTCGGTTGCAATCGGGGATACGAAAACCCAAAACATAGATTTTTGAAAAAAGACAATGTTTAAAGACCCTTCTCATCTCGAACCAAAAGCATTCAAATCAAATCATGATCATGGCCTCATTTCGAATGCTTCTTTGTTGAAGTTACGATTATTTTGTCATTATTAAATTAAAAGTCGTTTTTCTTTATTTCAGACATCCTGTATAGCAGTTTTCATTTTTTTTTTTTTTTTTGAAAAAGAAAATAATATTGAAAGTTATAGAGTATAAATTAAGGTCAGACAATTACAATATTTTCTCTAGTGAGCCTGATGGAGGTACATAATAGTGGCAGAGTCGGGATAAGGCCGCCAACTTCAAAGCATCTTTCATTTACTGCTGTAGTTGAAATCCAATTATGACTTTGGATTCTTTGTATGTGAGGAATTTATCAAGCTTATTTACGGAAGGTCGGTGGTTCTAGTCAGGTGCCCGCTCGTGTCTTTAATGTTTCACAAAGGGTATCTGGGGTCTTTTTTTACACTAAAGCAGAAATGTTTTCACATGACTTCAGTGTCGTTGAAACTTAAAATCCAAGAAAGCCAAACGTAACAAAATAGAGTTAAACAGAATCTTTAAAGAAATTGCAACACAACAAAATTGAAAATGTTCATAAACCCTTTTAAATACTCACAAAATACATTATGGTAGATGAAAATTCCAACTTAGAATAAAATTTAAGGTTGCAGTATTGCTCACTTAAATACTGTTTAATCATTCTTAGGGTAGTGCCTGCCTGTTGACAGATTATCTATGGTATGCAGGCTTCATGACCTCCGATCCCCTCTCAAAATTTCATTTTGTTTAGTTTCACTCATTGTATTCTCGTTTAGGGCACACACACTTTTTAACCTGGGGGGATATGCCGCTTTTCACAGACTGGCAATAACGTGTCACATTGAAGGTTCCATGATATTAAACCGCCATATGAACACATCCACAGATGTTAAAAAATCTAAAGAGTACCAGTTCATGTTTAATGTGAATTCTGCTGAAGCCGGTGCTTAGAGGCGTGGACGGTAGCTTGCAGTTACCACTACCGTCCATGAACAGGTTTAATCAAACTGAGCCTGCAACATTTTCATGTTTTCCGTGTGGGACTTCTGTTAAGGATTATTTTTTTCTCTATTTTATTACTAATAGGCATTATTATAATGGGTAATGATATCAAGCAATAATCTTTCTTCTCTCAATACAATTCGATAAAAGTTACTGTTGTTGTCGTGAAAACAGTCCTTACTTAGGACATTACTTATTCTGCCAAAAGTCTCAATCTGAAACTTAAAGTAAGAAAATAACAAACTATAACTTTTCTGCTAAAGAAAAAAAGTAATACAACCTTTTAAGAATATATTAAATAGAAAGGTATGAGTTATTTCATAAAAATAACGGATACACGAACTTTGTTTGAAATTTGGCAAGTATCTAAACTGTAACAGAAATCTGGGTATAAACTGTAACAAAATTGGATGAATGTCGCTAGGTCTATGCTGTAACCCATCAAAATTAACCTCGCTCTATACTGTAACATTGTTTATTTTTTCAAACGCATTTAACGAACAGGAAAATAAGTTCAACTGGTCATTTACTTTTATCAACGTTTCTAAATATAAAGGACTAAAGTTTTGTCGATTTACTTTTTCTAGGCATGCATAAATAATGTCGAAATTGCAGAAAAATGCGTTGGTCTCTCGATTCAAATTTTCAAACCGTCAAATCTGCACATTTATGAGACAATATAGAGATAAATCTGCGGTGCAGGGTCTGAAGAAATATATGACTAGATACCGGATTCTGTTCCTTACAAGCAAAGCACAAAAACATCTTTTAGAAACTAAACTACTAGTATAGTATGGACCTGAATAAAAATCACCTACCTCTCTTCCCATAAATAATCCTCCATCTTGAAAATTCTATACTGTAACCGAAAAACGCGATACTGTAACACGTTCCCTACGGTGAGTACTTACCTGTTAATTTTGGTACTTTGTCATCTTCCATTTCAATCCAAGAAGTGAGATTATGTGATTCTTCCCCTCTGGACTCGGCTGTTTCATGTAATTCATCTTCAGCCTTCTCCCTAAGGACCTTGTCCTGTAGCACCGTGCTGAGTAACGTTCTTGAACTGAAATATGTTAAATATATAAAATATTATAAAGTACTACTTGAAAATAATTTCATGCACGAACAGAAAGCTGCAGATATGCTGGTACAAAAACCACTGGCAGTTAACACACTGGATACTTTTTGCATATGCAGCTTGAAAAACAGGATGTTATATTAAAACAAACACTGATAATTTCATTTTAAAACGCTGAAAAATGGTTGTTTTGGTTGTTTAAATATTAAACAAATATTACAATGCTATAAAATTTTACTGTTTCAGCTTTATCGATTTCTAACTACACAATGTAAAACATAAATGCGAATAAAATGAAATAATACAAAACATACGCAGAAATTAATGTTAAACATCTTACCAAGGCATTCCGATTGTATCTATATATTTCGCCAGTTTGTTATATAAATTTATATATATGTAGGTTTTACGTAATTGTCTGCTATCACATTAGGCAGAGCGTGAATGCAAAACATTTCAATCTGATTGGTTAATGCAGAGCTATATTTAGAAAGAATGCGAATCGATGAAGTCTGTCATTATTGATCCAAAAGACCAATTTACTGGCTGTGCGTGATGACAGAGAACTTGAGCAAGTCGCATTTAATGTTAATTTTTTAACAAAGGCTAAGAAGTCCGATTATTAGTTCTTAATGAAGAGCTATTAAATAATAATAAGTAAACTCTTTTAAAGCTGAAAAGCACGTCTCGTATAACCTGTTATATTTGCTCTGACATTTGCTGTTGTGTATATTTATATTCATGTTGTCCAGAATGTTATTTCAATACAACTTTACGACAAGTTTTGTTCTAAATAGGCGCACTTAGTATCAAGATACGAGTAATTCTATATTTTCGCATCATTTTCTGTCCTACCACCAAAACTTTGTATAATTAAGAGATTTTACTAACAATGCAAATGGACACGAAATTTTATGTTAAAATATCATAAGTTCAACAGTTTGGTTATATAAACCCTTCAAAATTATATCAGAAGTGCCAATTAGGGTCAATTAATGCTACCTATGCGCAAATAACGGTATTTGTGAACATTTTTCACAACTAATGACCATTCTACCATCAAAAACTCACCTTTTTTGCAGTATATAATTATGTATAATCCAGTCATCTGTTTTCTTATATTGTTGTAAATCTGAAATCTGTCCTTAAAGTTTATGTCATTCTTGTAACATAATCATAATCAGTAAAAGTAATAACTGATCCCTTGCTATTATGAATAAAACAAAGCCTCTTATATAAAGAGAAGTCTCTAGATGTGCCACAGGGGATTGTCTTGTTTGTATATTTTGAAAAAAGGCGTTCTACTGTTGGCAAATACTTGCATATTTTTATTATGTTTTAATTGTCAGTACTGTGCATTTACAACCCTAATGAGAAGTTGTTAAATATATGGTAAAAGTCAGTAACAACGATTCACATCTATAAGAGATTTATTGTTATTACTTTTTCTGATATTTACATTGAATATGTCACTTATGTAACAGTCACTTCCGTAACTACTGATTTTGTAACAGTGGTGACCAAATAAGTTACAGTAGATACATTTCAAACAATTATCAGTTAATTTAAAAGTGTATTTTGTAGAAAGGCTTTTAAATTTACTTGATAAACTTTTTAAAGTTTTCAGATTATATATTACACCGTATATATCCAGTAACGCCGGAATGTGAATATAACGCACGATTCGTGCAATAAGTAAAGCAAAATTGTGCAATTAATGACGGCTTCCTGACAGGATTTTCAACGCGGTAAGTAAACTGGCCAATATATGTTTTATTTAACCAAGCTGTAAAAAATAAAAAGCTGCATACGACTGCAAAGACATAACTCTTTATCCCTCATCAAGATTATTTCCACGAAATTGTTTACTTTTCAAGATCATTCGTAAAAATGATGTCTTGACCACCGCACCGTAGGGAACGTGTTACAGTATCGCGTTTTTCGGTTACAGTATAGAATTTTCAAGATGGAGGATTATTTATGGAAAGAGAGGTAGGTGATTTTTATTCAGGTCCATACTACTAGTAGTTAAGTTTCTAAAAGATGTTTTTGTGTTTTGCTTGTAAGGAACAGAATCCGGTATCTAGTCATATATTTTTTCAGACCCTGCACCGCAGATTTATCTCTATATTGTCTCATAAATGTGCATACCCTGATGCTGTTAATTGCAAATGCCGAAAGTAGTCCGCTTTTTTGAAGCGGTTACTTCCCTTTATATGTACACTAACGCCGAAAAATTCAGGGGAGATCACTGCGTAAAGATTGACAAACGACAGGCGCATTAATTTTCAAGCAAAATAGTTCCCGAATGGTCGAAGATTTCTAATATTGTTTTATTCTTTATAGATATACATGCTTATAGTAAGCTCCATGATTATTTACATCTGTGTTAAACAACATGTTTAGCGTCAAAATAATAAGAGTTACAAACCCTAATTTAGATTAATATGGTTTTCTTCAGGCTGTTAACACCTAACTTTACCGTGGCGAGGGGTTTGCACGCTCGCTTAGGAATCGAGAGGTCTGGAGTTAAAATCCCAGTTAAGGCAACTCATTTTTTTAAAATTGTTTAAGTCAAATAAACATTGAATTGAATATCAGTGTTGCAATTAGTCTTATAGCCAATTTACTACAGTTAAAACACTGGAAAGCATTGGTGGCACTATACAAAAACAAATTGGTTTATAATCTCACAACCTTCACCTTTCTGGCATTCTGAGACCCAAACAAATTCAGCGCCTTCTGTGCTTTGATATATGTAACTGGACTAAAAATCATTCAACCGCAATACCCGTGTAATATGCGCACACGTACTTGAGCTGCCAATCTTTTCTATAAAGTTTAATTGAAATTGCATAAGTTGTATAAGAGTAGTCCATACACATTTTAAAAATAAAAACAAATAAAGGGCAATGACTCATCATTGAACCGGAAAACGCCGATTCCATACATGACTAAACTTGGTACTGATCACTACTGTAAAGTATTGATGTAATTGCACCAGTAGTTTCTGAGAAAAAATAGTCCGCACAAGCTTATGTGTAGCTGGCAACACAAAAAAGCATCTTCTTTATTGACGGGCCATAACTCGGCCAACAAACATTGAACCGAAAACCCCGTTTAATAAGTACTTAACCTGTAAAGTTTCATTGGAATTGCATTAGTGGTTTAAGAGGAGCAGTCCGTATAAACTTTATTAACAGCCTTTTTATTCCAGGGCAAACTTTAAAAATAACAAGAACGTGTTTGTTAAACACAAATGCCCCGTCTGTAACATATTTTTTTTAAAAATACCCATTGACTCAATTAAGGACAGAAAAATTGCCAAAAAAATGTAAACAATGTGTGAAAAATATATGATGGCAAGTCGATGAAGTTGAAAAATATTCATCTTTAATAACAAATAGGCTTTTCCTTGAACCAAGTGATCCCCCATTCAAACTTAAAGGACCATCTTCCTTGTAAATATGAGGCATTAGTAAGAAAATACAAAGGCTGTAATAAAAAGTGTAAAAAAAGTATATTGTCATCAAAAGTGACATCGACCTTGTGACTCCCAGCACTTGACAATCAAAGTCTGCCCATATCATGTATTGATTTAGTAAATTTGTAAATCATTAAGCCATTGGTATAGGTAGAACTTAAGAAAATTCCAAATTGCCGTTTTGAATTAATCTCGTACGGACAGTCGGACGGACGGTTCAATTACTATAATGCCCGGGTGCATAAAAGTTATTAAATGGCCATAACTCTGACAAAATAACTGAACCGGAAAATGCCTATGATATGCATAACTAAACTTTGTAATGAGCATTCCTGAAAAGCTTGGATGACAATGCATTAGTCTAAGAGTAGGTCGGCTGACAGATTAGATGCGACACAATAAAAAGCGTTGTTATTACAATGTCAGCAAAACTCAATCAAACCGAGCCTGCAAAATTTTCAATTTTGCCGTGATGGGCTTAATTATGATTATAATTATGATTGGATTTCAGGGATCATCATATCCTTATCCCACTACCAGTAATGCAAATTCAATAAAATACTTTCCGTGGCTGTATAAACAAAGATTTAATGAAAATTGAATTAGCCTCCTTATCAAGAGCGAATACACTGTAACCTGTGTTTATGGTGGCTGCTAAAGTGTGGAGCTGTGGTTGATTGGGAGGAAATATTACAATACTGGTACCTTAGAGCGGACGGTCAAGTTTTCAGCTGGTGGTTTCTGAATGGTTGATGCATTCAAGATGCTGTCGTCCTCGGGGATTACAGAAAAGGATCTGGATTCAGTCACAACAGGGAAGCCTGGCGACATTGTGTCTTCGTGGCAAAAGGTTCAAGAAGCGAAAAAGTTATTCCTAGACTTTTAAGGATAAGCCGGTGTACTTGATTTTACTGGGCAAGCAAATTATCAATGCTAAACTGCATCGGTTGCCGATATATTATAGCGTACTCTTACCGGTGTGCCTAAAATACGTAAAGTAGCGTAAAGTAAATGACCCCAGACAGCAAAGCCCAATGAATGGCACACGTTAATGCGAAAGAGGCGTTCAAATGTCAGTGAACTATGAACCGATCAAATTGTGCAACAGTCTCTTGGATGTATGTTGCAGTGATATGTCATATACACCTTCAACTATGCTTCCCAAAAGCGTCACAAAGCAACAAAATGCGTCCGCGTGCAACATTTCAGAGAATAGTTCTAATGGAAATGTTGTGGTAACTGAAAGTGATGTTGATACTCATTGTAGCGTTAATGAGGCAGGTCATGTGCCTAAAAGGGGACCGTTCAGATGACTTTAAATCAACGGATTTTTTTTACCTCAAATGTATTCATGTTCATGTTTAGAAATCACGAGGGTACGTGGGATGCTGTTCCGGCGGGCATAAAAGAAGGCGTTTACTTCTTTATTGACAAAATCTCAATGGACGTACGTGAACGTGCAGGTTTAAAACGCGAGTTCTTGGACGATTGTGGGGCATGGGCAAAAGGCGCAGCTCCAACACAATACTACTTGCCTATTGATGGAAAGCTTTTGTTTCTTACAAAAAGACATGGACAGTTTTGTGTAACAAAACCGGAAAACGCTTTTACATGGAAGTTTTAGCCCTCAACCACAGGCTAATGACTCGCTTGTGATATAAAACAGGTCATATAACAAACTTAAAGCAAGTGCTGAATACAAACGACGTATCTCGTGGATTGGAAATGTTCCATCTGGCTATGAAGACTTAAGTACAAACGTTGTCATGTATAGGATAGATCATGAGTACCAGTTGGATGTGAGATTTATCAACGAGCGAAGCGAGTTGATAAATCTCATATCCAACTGGTACGAGCGATCTATCTGACTTAGACCACAGATAATTTTCTTTGTTTAAGGTGAAGATTAAATATGCGAAAACAACTTTTTTCTTCGACAATTTCACAGGGATATCCAAATATATCTTATTCAATCTATTTGGC